TGGCTGGAAACACACTTGGCAAGCACACAACTGATGGGGTAAAACACATTCACAAAGTTCTGCAACAAGACCAACAAAGAACTGTCACATAATCCTGCTGATGGGGTAAAACGCATTAGTATAAAGCTTGCCAAACTGTCACATAGCTGACCAACACATCACAACTGATTCATTGGCTGCACACAACCAAAATATTGCTGAAAATTAAGACAAGTAAGCATAAAACTGAAGTCCAAGGGCCAATACTACAGAGTATCAACTGGCAAACGCATCCTGGAAACCAAGTATGCACCAACACACTAAGCAACGAAACGTATGTTGGAAATTCAAACAAGTTGGAACAAAACTGGTACCAAAAGAAATTAAGCACACAACGGAAACCACATGCAAGCACACATATGAAACTTGGGGCGAAGCCAACAATTCAAACCAAATGCCAAGCAAACAATTGAAACCAGCCCAATAGCCAACAAAACAAAACATTTGCTGGAAATGAATAAGGCAAGCACTCAACTGTACTCAAACACTTAGATAGCTGAAATCAAGGCCGAGAGCAAGGCTGAAACCAGCATGCTGAACATTGGTTGCAAATTCCCAATTACATAACAACCATTTCAATCAATTTCCCAAGCAACACAACTGAACATTTGCTGCAAATTCAGACTGCTTGCCAACACAACACAACTGAATCACATGGGCCAATATTCAGATAATCAGACTGCTAACCAACAAAATTGAAACCACAAAATGGCACATAACTGAAATCACATGCAAGCACACAACTGAAACCAAGGCTGAAGCAACAACTAGGAAAGCATAGGACTACAACCAAAGGACAAGCAACACTTAGCAAGCACACAACTGAAATCACATGCAAGCACACAACTGAAACCAAGGCTGAAGCAACAACTGGGAAAGCATAGGACTGAAACCAAAGGACAAGCATCAATTAGCAAGCACACAACTGAAATCACATGAGGTGAAACAACTGAAACCAAGGCTGAAGCATCAACTAGGAAAGCATAGGACTGAAACCGAAGGACAAGCAATAATTAGCAAGCACACAACTGAAAGTAGACCTTTGCTGTAAATTCAGAAGGCAAGCTCAAACTGAGCATGTATGCATGATTGAGATCTAAAAATGAGAAAGGCTGGAAATGAAGACACGTTGGAACACACCTGAAAGCACTCAGAAAGCACTCAGAAAGCACACAACTGAAACCAAGGCTAGAAATTCACAACCTGAAAGCACTCAGAAAGCACTCAAAAAAGCATCTTGCATTTAAAAATTATTCCAAAAATTAGAACCTTGGCCAACTTGTGAAGAGTGATAAGACATAAATCCCGGATTCAATAAATAGATCCCCCAATACATGACATGCAGACTGGAAAAATACACAGAATAATCACCAGTAAAATTTTTTACCTTCCTAGTGGCAGAAAGCAGAGAACCGTAGTAGATAATCTCCAATATCTACACCTGCCAAGCAACAACTGTGGATTTGAAGTCGTTTGTGCAAATCGTAGTGGGAAATGGTGGTCAAAATACCCAAACTTAGACAAATTTTAAACCCGACGTCAAAGGAAGAAGGAAATCGATAAATGAAAGCCATAAAAAAAATTAAATAAATACAAAAGAATTGATTTTTGGCATTGTACCTCCATAAATCAACCAAGATCTTGTCGTGTTTTCCCTTTTGTTCGAAGGCTAGGGTTTCAATCGGTGTCAGACAGCGCAAATGCGATCCAAACAGACCCAAAAGGTGGACGACTCGGGGGTAGAAGGTGTGGTGGTGGAGGGCAAGGGGGAGCAGGGCGTCGTCGGCGAGGACAGCGATGTCGACGCCGAAGAGGGAGTGGGTGGACGGGAGGCCGCAGCGGGAGAATAGGCTGAGCCCTAGATTGGAAGGCGGGAGGGAAGGAGGAGGAGGAAATTCTTGGTTGATTCGGGCGGGAGGGAGAGAAGGGCGGGAGCGGGAGAGAAGGGCGGGAGCGGGAGAGAGGGGTAACCAGCACGAGAATGGAAGGGGAAGAGCAATCGGTGATTTTTGTACGGGGGAGAGAAAAGAGGAGTTTTCCGCTATAATCAGCGGTTTTTGAGCGGAAAATGGTTGGGAGAAAAAGCTGTCAGATTGCCCGCTCTTTTCTTTACTTTCTTTTTTCTTTTTTACGAAGCAAACATCCGATTGTGAGGGGAAGTAACAAATTCACCCTGCGTCAGTTTTCCCAAAGGACATTTTCCTTCATTTTCTGCATTTTTTGGCCGAAACAAACATGCCCTAAAACAACTCTGTCATTGCCATGTTATGGTGACCTTTTTAATGTTAGATGTATCTGTCATATTTTAAATTTAATTGTTCAAAGTGCATTTTCTAAAATTAAACCCATGATAGAAAAGGTTAGAATAGTTGCTAATATGCATAATGCTTCTGAAATGAGAATTAAAAGATGGAAACAATGTTGTAAAAGAAAAAATTATAAGCTTAGAGTAATTCTAAAAGATGTTGACCATAGGTGGAATTTCATATATGCAATGCTAAGTGTAGCAATAGAATACAAAGAAATTATAAATAATTTTATAAATTTTTATGCTTCTAGTTCTAGCTCTGGTAGCACTTATGGAATAAGTAAAGATGAATGGACAATTATATATAAATTAAATAAGATGTTACAAGTTTTTTATGATGTTACTATGTTATTATCTGATTGTTATTATCCAACTATTACTTTAGCTGCTTTACAAATTTTAAATATTCAAAAACTTTTTGCCAAATATCGTATGGATGATATTTTTGGAAATATAATTTTTTAAATGAAGAGCAAATTTAATAAGTATTTTAGGCCTATTCCTCATATTTTTGGTTTGGGGGTTCTTATTGATCCATATTTGAAGGATATTGGTCTTCGAAGTTTGTTACAGTCATTGTATGGTGGACAGATTATAGACTTAGATGATGGTTCCACCCTTACTGCTACTTCTCATCATTTATCTATTAGAAATTATTTTCAAACATTATATGATGAGTATACAGCTAGACATGGTGTAGCTGCATAACAGTCTACAGCTTCAGCGTCTTCGGCTTTGAGCACAGATCGAGGTAAAAGTGTAAGTTTTGATTGGTATGTAATGATAGCTGAACTAATTGGTGGATCTGGAATTGGTTCAGGATTAGAGGTTTTTGAATTAGATGAATATTTTTCTGCTTCCTTAGTTAAATGTCAAGGAAATACTTTAGATATTTTGCAATGGTAGAGAGTATATGGATCAGTTTCATATCCTATACTTTCCACCATGGTTAGTGACTTACTATCAGTGTAGGTTTCGACGGTAGCTTCAGAATCCGCCTTCAGCACAGCAGGACGTTTGATCGACGACCATAGGATATGCTTAGATCCGTATACTATACAAGCGGTGATGTGCTTACAAGATTGGTGAAGGTACGAGAAGCGAACACAAGGTATCGATCAGATTGCTATAATTAAAGATAAATTTAAAGAGTTGGGACTAACAGATAGATATAAAGATTAGATAATATTCATCAAATTATAATTTTTATTTCTTAGCTTTAAATTTGTAATGAATTATTTTTAAAAAAGTTGTAAATGATAGTGATATGGGTGAGTAGGTGCCAACCTAGTTGGGATTTACTCATTTATTGTGATACGATGAATTTCAAAATAAATTTATACTTATAAAGGATTTACTGATTATTAATAAAGAAATTATTTTTATCATCTTTTATTTTTATAATTTTTTGTACTTGTTATTTATGTCATTTGAAGTTATTAAAAAATTATGTCATTTTCTATAATTTTATGTATATTTTATAATTTATTATTTTTTTAAAAAATAAAAAAATTTTAAAAAATAAAAAAAACCCGGGTCGGCCCAGAGCCCGGCCCGCTCACCGGGTCACCCGGGCTCAGGTCTAGGCTTCGGTTTTGCCCGGCCCAAGCCTAGGCCCAAGCCTAGTTTCCCGGGTCGAGCCGGATCGGGCTGGCCCAGATGGACACCCCTAGCGTGGATCCACCCCTAGGACACCCCTAGCGTGGATCCACCCCTAGGGGTAACAACAATAGGCTTGTAGGTAAAAGTGGATGAACAGTGCAAATAAACAGTGGAAGTCCCTTTAACAATAACAAATTCCACACTAGTCTCAACAATAATCGATCATCTTCATAGAAACCGTGGTTCTAAATATAAGTAATAAAATAAAGAAGGAGATAAAAGAGAGCACATAACTTTATTTTTCTTTCGTGTAAAACATATAGATCGATCGAGGAGGTACAATGTAATTGAATTTGGATCGAGTTTTTGGGTTTGAATTAATCCTATAAAATAAATCCATCACCGGACCTTAGTCCACTGGTAAATGTCATCAAAAACATTGGTCTACTTCTATATAGAGAGGACATTAAAGAAATGTCTTGAGAACCACCAGTTTCAACATTTAATTTTTTGGATGTAGTTTTTTTCTTCTTCTTCTTTGGATCTGGCGATGTTTCTACCCCTTCTTCTACGAGGTCACGTTTGAAACCTGATTCGGGAGTAGATCCATTACCACTATTGTGAGAAAGCTGCACGCCACTCAGATTAGGACTGTGAAATTGTGGAGGCAAAGTTGGAGAATTCAGCATGTTCGTATATGACCCCAGATTATGATGCATTGGATAGTAGCTGCTTTCATGGAATGGCATGTTCGGGTATGCTTGAGGTGGGTGTACAAAGTACGACTGCTGAAATGGAAAATACCCACTATCGCCGTGATGCACAGACTGAGAGGGTTGAGGTTGTGGGGAAGGTGATGGAACTACCCCCTTGCCTTTTTGATTATCTCTCCCACTCAATGATGTATTATCAGCCATTACTAATTAAATAGAGAAAGTTAGATAACTGAAAGAATTTAAACATGAATACATGAATTAAAAAAAGAACGACATTAATGTAAATAGAGTTATTGAGTACATGTGAATGAGCATAAATAGAAGAAAAATAAAAATCAAGTCTCTGTGGTTACACCATGATTATACTTATCACAGTAGTCCACCCACATCGCCCAAGCAATGTCATCTCTAAGAGTCTTCCACTCATTTCTTGATTCAGTTTGCTCTCTTTGGGTTTGATTTTGAGTAAAATCAACTAAATTAGTGTCATTCTCGAATGTCACCTCACCATCAATAGCTTTATTAAATTCATCATCGTTGAGTAGTTCATCACTTGGATCTACAGTTGCAATGAAATTATGGAGTACCGTGCATGCCAATACGATATCTACTTGTATAGGAAAAGGATAATGCGGCTTAGCACACAAAATCTTGAAACGATTCTTCAACGTGCCAAATGCAGATTCAATCTTAGACCTCAATGAAGAATGTCTTAGATTGAATAATTCCATTCTATTCTTAGGTGTTTTACCCGAATGTTCTTTCAAATGATATCAAACACCTCAGTATGGAGAGATGAAACCTGGCATGGTTGGGTACCCAGCATCACACAGATAGTATTTGCCTATAATTTTATTAAGCAAAGAGTTAAGTCAAGTTTGAATATTAAACTTAATAAATTTTAAGTTAAGTCTTTATTTAATTACCATCATAGACTCTCAATCCATGTGGTTGTGGTCTAGACAATGCATCCTGAAGAATCCTATAATCATTTGCAGACCCCTCCCAACCTGCTAGAACATATGTGAACAACTTGTTTGGGGTGCAAGCTGCAAGCACATTCTGTGTAACACCTTTGCGGCCTCGAAAGCGTGCAACAAGATTAATCGGAAGCATTACATCAACATGAGTCCCATCTATCATTCTAATGCAATCCTATAATACGTGTATCACACCTAAATTAAAATTAACTTCCATTGAGTATACATTTAAATGTGCTTAAAGTGTAGATATACCTTGAAATAAGGGTAGTATAGCGGGTTGTTAACGATCTCTTGAGGAATGTCATTGGGGGCTTGTCTCATGTACCGTCCACGCAGGCAAATAATTACTTGTAATACCTTGTTGAAATATCTACTAACTGTCTCCCCTGATCTTATAAAATGAGATCTGACAATGCGATTTTTAGATTTATGACCCAGAATGTTCAGTATCATGATAAGTTGTTCTTCAACTGTTACATTCCTTGAGTCTTTTAGCAGGCTATTGTTCCTCATTATAGTCGCTAGTTTAACAAAAGCACCACTCCACATTCTAATATAATTCACGCAACTCTCACTAAAACCATTATAAATTCGATCTATGTGCTCAATTCTAGCTCTCTCTTGTCTTTTTTTTCCTTACTTGGACCACTACGAATTGATTTACGTCTTGCTTGCATTCTCCTTATAATAGTTATAATTATAATTAAAATGGATAGGGCAGCACCTTGAACCATATTAACAACACTTTGTTCATCGGAATAATCACCATCATTATCCATCTACGATGAAAAAATCATTATTTTTGTTAGTAACTAAGTCAAATTCTTACAAGATCTGAACAAATTACAAATTACTACACACTAACATGGATTATTCCATATCTAAGCAACAAATGTTACAGTGACATAACAAATACTGCATATCTAAGCAACAAATATTAAAGTAATAAAAAAATGCTAATCCATTACAAATACTAATCAATATGACTTAATGTGATAAGCAAAATTGAATACTAGACCTAATCCAAACTTTATCAAAGTTGAAGCAGATCGAATACTAGACCTAATCCAAAAGAATAAGAAAAACGAGGCGAAAGAAACCAATCCATAAATATTGTTGTCATGGTCATGCAGAATTCTCACAAACTAGAGTTTGGCCCTTAAGAATAGGCCGCCGACATGAATAAGGTACGACATACTGAAGCTAAATATAAGCCAAATATTCTCTATTCTAACTATTTCAGAATACACTGGCCTACTAGTTACCCATTTTATTATCCAGACAGTCAAAGAGATGCTCTAAGATTTCCTTTTTACTCTCCATCGAAGGCCTTTTCCCTAGTCTCAGATGCAGATTCAGGTAAAGTGGGAACTCTATGAACCCTCTTAAAAATCTACAATGGTTAAGGTTAACACTGGCTGTTGTTGCCCTTGCTCCAACGACCTCAAGCAACAGAACAAGTGAGCATACCAAAGACATGCTTTTAGATTCCCTTGTTTTTCTCCCTTGAAAGAATAATGCAATAGTATCATATGCAAATTCAAGTTAATTGGAAACCCTATAAACCCACACAAAAGTGTACAGCGCTTCAAGGTTAATACTGGCTTGTCACCCTTGCTCCCACAACCTCAAGCAACTGAACACGAGCAAGAATACTGACTAGTGACTATTACACCGTAAAATCTCCATAACAATAATAATACTTCAAACTAACTTTATAACTAATACAAATGACACAGATAGAATAAAAACTATTAAGCTAGAATCCGACAATAAAGCAATATGTTATAGAAAATCCTAATGATTAACATTATAGAAATCCTAAAAGCCTCCATACAATGGATATGATACTCTCATATTTGCTTAAACCAGAAATGAACTTCAACTCCCAGCTGCAAAATATTACAACAAAAGTAGTTCAATCATATAAACAAATTTTTGGGTTATCATGTACAAGAACCTGAATACTTCATATCTACAGTTGCAATCAGAAAAAGATATTTATGAACTGATGTATAAGGAGTTATTTTTTATTCTTAATTTTAAATATTATGTGTCATAAATGTTTTGAGGATGTCTACGTATAGCACACCTACACTATACTAGTATTTCTAAAAGGAAGGAAGAAAAAGCATTGAAGTAATCTGTTTATTCATCATCCCACTTTTAGAAATAACTTGTGTATATATTCTTTTACAACATTCACATTGCACATGCCCAAAAAATCTAACACTTTTGATGTTAGAAATAATGAGCATTCAAAATGAACAAAGTGAGCCATCAGCATCCAGCATATTTCACAATTTCAGAGTACTGTATTGATAGGCTGCACCTTTTAATTGGACATGGAAGAAACTAGGAGGATTCGACAATGGACGTAAGGAACAAATTTCAGATCTGAACAGGCTCACAAAGATCAAATACCCCTCCCCCAATTTCTCACAAAATTGATCCACAAATTAATCTAAAAATCCGAAATTAAAAAAATAAGGGGATTTTACCTTGATTTTGGAAGCAATAGCGTCGGAAAGATCAGATCTTAGTAGCGTCGGCACAAGATCAAACCCCCCGTCCCCCAATTTCTTCGAATACAGGGGCTAAATCAGCTGTCGGGAGTTTCTGGCAGGAGGAGAGCGAAGGGGGTATCTATAGCTCAACAAAGAAATCAATGACAAACCCAAAAATCCGACGTGGCGCTGGTTTTCGTCGATTTCACTCCGATGGGGAGGGAAATCGGGGAGAGCAAAAAAATCGATGTGGCGGCGATTTCCCCTCTCGTTTCTCTATTTAGCCCTAGCGAAACAAAGCAGGGAAAGAAAAACTTGGGAAAGCTCGCAACCGACGTGGAGGGCTAAAAAACTACGTGGAGGGGTTTTCATCTTTTTCCACGGGTGATATTAGCGAACCAAACACACCCTAATGAAACCAGACAAGACAAAGCAAAAATATGCAGAAAAAAGAAAGAAAAATAAGGAAAAAGACGAAAAAAGCAGCTTCGTTTACCAAAGACGACATTAAGAAAAGTTACAGGATGTTCATAGTCCATATCGGACATAGATCCATGCTTTGAATGTCACTACTATATATCTTATAGAAAAGAGTTATAATTGGCAGACAAGCATGTAACTTAATTAGACTAATCAATATAAGAAAAATATGTTGGGAAATTACGCAAATTCTCCTATAATCAGATTCATGAGAAAACGAAATAAATGCGGAATAATAAGACACGCATAACGTAGTTCGGCCAATTATGCCTACATCTCCGGGCTGTTGCAAATCTCTTACTGAAAAAGAAAAATTTACAAAGTGTTTATAAATACTCACAACCCAAATTATACCCTGAAAATTATTCTTAATTTTCTCTCACCAAAGTTTTTTTTTAAAGCTTTTCTTTTTCTCTCTCTCTTAGATTGATACTAAGCACCTATTGAAGTGCTCTATTTATAGATGCAGAAGCCCCCCCTTCTACATGTTTTGTCAACTAATTCTTAATTGGCTTTCCTTCTTTTTCAACAAAAGGATGCACCATCCACTCAATTTTCTTGGGTTGTTGGCTTGACAACCACTCTTTTTCCTTTTTTGTTTTATTGTCATTTATTTCACCTATTGGTGCATGTAGGTTTGACCAACAATCTCCCACTTTCTTCATACCTCGATCAATGCAGCAGCTCTTTTCGGTCTTATTACTTTAGCGGGCTAACTGAAGTCGAACATAACTTCAGTTTGTCAATAGTCATCGCTTTTGCCAACATATCCGTTGGATTCTTACTTCCTTGGATCTTCTCTAGTATTAACACATCATCTTCCAATAGAGATCTGATGGACTGATAACGAAGCCCAATATGCTTGGTTTTGGAATGAAATGCTGAATTCTTCACCAAGTGTATCACACTCTGACTATCACTATGCAAAACATTTTCTCCTGTTTGAATCCCAACTCAGTTAACAAACCTTAAACTCATATCATCTTTTTACTAGCTTCAGTCACTACTACATACTCAGCCTCTGTAGTGGATAAAGTGATAATCTTCTGTATCTGTGACATCCAACTAACATGTGTAGTTCCAACAATGAATATATAACCGGTGGTGCTTCTTCGGTGATCGACTTCACCTCTAAAGTCTGCGTCTACGTAGCCTTGTACTTTTAACTCTCCTTTACCAAAGTACAAACATTTCTCTATGGTGCCTCGTAGATACCTCAAAATCAACTTGACTGCTTCCCAATGAGCTTTCCCTGTATTTGACATAAACCTGCTAACAACTCCCACTGTATGGCCAATGTCTAGTTTCGTACAAACCATGGCGTATACCAAACTCCCAATGGCTGAGGCGTAAGGAACCTTAGCCATGTAATCTTTCTCTTCCTCTGTTTAAGGGGACTGATCCTTTGATAGGTGAAAGTGACTAGCCAAGGGTGTGCAGACTGGCTTAGCGTCGCCCATGTTAAATCTCTACAAAACACGATTGATGTACTCTGCCTGAGATAACTACAAGAACCCTCTCTGCTTATCTCTTGTGATTTGCATTCCAAGAATCTTCTTTGCTAGATCCAAGTCTTTCATGTCAAACTCCTTTGACAATTGCTGCTTCAACCTTCTGATATCATCCATATCTGAACTTGCTACTAACATATCATCGACATAAAGCAGTAAAATGATATAATTAGACCTATATCTCTTGAAGTAGCAACAGTGATCGGCGTTGCACTTCTGGAAACCTTCCTTATGCATGAAGCCGTCGAAC